CTGCACCACACAAGCGGGTAAAACGACACGATAGCCTCGACCCTTCCCAGATTGAATCAATTCGTCAAATTACCATTTATTTTGATCCTTGCCACTGGTTCCTGATATATTGACCTAATACAGTTTACAGATTCCTCATTAAATCCAAATTCTTCCAATACCTTATACAGAAATACCCAATTCACACTGTCAAAAGCCTTTTCCTCATCTATGCTTACCAAAATGACACTTTCTCCCTTCTTCTGTACCTTTTCAATGACATGTAGTGTCCTTCTTATGTTATCTTGTGTTTGCCTTTCTTTAATAAAGCCAGTCTGATTCTCATCAATCAAATCCTGCATAAATGTCTCTAACCTCTTGGCTATAATGGAGGTGTAGAGTTTATAATCTACATTTAAAATTGATATTGGTCTGTAATTACAACAATATTCTTTATCTTTAGCTTCCTTTGGAATGATGGAGATATTAGCCTCTTTCCATGAGGGAGGGATCTTGAGACTATAGTTAAATGAGTTGCATAATAGTGGGATTAACTCCTCTTTAAATGTTTTATAAAAGGAGGCACCCAATCCATCAGCTCCTGGTGATTTCCCTGATTTTGCCCGACTAATTGCCTTTCTATCTCTTCTACTGTTATTTTTGAGGTCAACGTCGCATTCTGTTTTGTACCTATTGTTGGCAAATCTAATTGGTCTAGAAACTCCCTTAAATCCTCTTCACCCACTGAGGTAGGCTGTGTATATAATTTACTGTAGTATTCCACAAATATTTTTTCTATTTCTCCTGGTTCATATAGGATTTTATTGGTTGCAGGGTTTGGGTTAGGGTTAGAAAGGAAAGCTAAGCTAACCCTTAGCTTTCCTTTCTACCTCTTCCAACAGGATATCATCTACTTTTTTCCTAACTTCTTTAACCTGGTTAAGTATTACCGGATCTTTTGTCTGTTTATGTTGGTTATGTTCTTTCAGTTTCTCAATTTGTTTCTGATACGTTTCTAATCTGTCTTTTTTAGCATAAACTGTGTATGAAATCAGCCTCCCCCTTATTACAGCTTTTAGGGCATCCCATAAAATTGTTGGGTCTTCTTCCCCATTATTGTTTTCCTCCCTGTAGCTAATTATTTCCCCTTTTAATTCTTCAACTAATCCCTTACTGTTCAGTATACCTTTGTTAAGTCTCCATACCGTTTTTTTTCCTCTTGCTGTTCAGATTAATTTCTAGGTAAATTGCACTGTGATCTGACATATCAGTTACCCCTATCCTGCACTCCTTCACTTTGTATATATATCCCTTATTCATTAGAAAATAATCAATTCTGGAGTACATTGCACGAGGGGCCGAGTGGGTATAGTCCCGGTCAACTGGATGGAGTTCTCTCCATACATCTAATATATCCATTTCTGACATCACGGTCTTCATATATTTATTAACTTGTTTTTTGCTTCTCTTTATACTTGTTGTGTCTAACCTATAGTTTAATACCACGTTGAAGTCCAGTGCCACATACCAATGTCCCTTCCGTTTCCAAATTTATAAGATCAAATATTTTCTGAAAAAATGTTTTCCCACTTTCCGGAGGGGCATACACATTGAATAGTGTCACCAGTTGGTTTTCTAATTTACCTTTAATCATGATATATCTTCCCTCCTTATCAGCAACTTCCTTGATCAATTCAAACTTTATTGTGTTAGCAATCAGTATTGCCACACCCCTCTTATGATTTTGTCCAAAGGAACTAGCAAATGATTTCTTGTAGCCTAACTTTTTAAACTTTTCTTGCTCCTCTCGCGATAAGTGTGTCTCCTGTAAAAAAAATAATCAGCATCTTCTCTTTTCTAAACTAAGTTAAAGCTTTACCTCTTTTTTTTATTATTCAGGCCATTGATATGCAACGACACCACCATTATATCATTATATTGCATTGTTTATATCCCTTGAAATGATTCCTAACCCCTCCACTGTAATATTATCAGCCCACATTTTACTACGAACAAAACATGAACAAACACACAAACTGAAACTAAACTCCCAAGCAAAAAAGGGCCTTATTCCCCATAGGCCCTGTCTCCCTATCGGTGGGAGTGAGGGATGGCCTTTTGTGTGCAAAGCCCCCCCCCCCCCCC